GCGAGAGAAGAGAAAAGTGATGGCCACATCGCGGAGATCGGCCTCTGAACCTCTACTCGGCTGCGTAAAACCACGTCATCGAAGCTCGACGGTGGAAAAACCAGCTGGAATCGAGTGCAAGTGGTTTTAGAAAGTCGTTCACGCTCGAATCCACTATGTCCGGAGCCAATGTCCTTCCGTTTAATACGGATACACTTGTACATCGACGCTTTCGAATCTTATCGATGAGATCTTGATGGCTGATTTTCGGTCAAATTGCTGATTAGGTTAGATCAGGCTAGATCGTCGCCGATTTCTAACCTTTTTTACTTTCGTCTTACGGCGCACATGAACTAACACTATACGACGCGCCAAAAGATATATTTCATTTTTTCTTTTTGGTCGATCTGACAAAAGAGTATTAGATTTTTGACTGATCTGGCTGCCACGCCAGATTTGCATGTCTTGCTCAGGGGGCCACGAGAAAATTTTCATTATTCTAAGCATAGTATTATATTATGCTTTATTATTATTATTTTTTTTTTAAATTCAAAATAACGTCTAGTTAGCTATGATGTTCGAAATTTTTAGTTGACGATATTCATTTTATTTGCTCTACTACTCTAAACATTTGAGGCCCTCCGGTCACTGATGACCATCGTGGTCCCATCGGGGAAACAATCTTCGGTTACAGGTGACCAACGTGGTTGTCGACGTGTTTTAATTTGCATTAAAAAATCTTGGTTACACCTGTGGACCTCCCGCGGCACACCGGTTGAAGATCAGCGGGCTAGATGGATGACGATTCTTTTTTCACTGTTAGAACATCATTCCTGTAGATTATCATCTTTTTAGAAGTCTTCAAAATTATACAAAGAATGATTAACGTAGCGAAGAAATTTTTATAGAACAGACATCAAAAGAGAGGAAAAATATGTTCCACGTAGGTGCTGCCGTAGAAATTTCAACGTTTTCTTCGAGAAAATTATTTACAGAAAATTACGTTACTGTTGACTGTAATTGAAGTATGTATATTGAAGTCTGCATAAGACTGCATAAGGGCTATAGTATTTTTTAAATATCTTTCTGTCAGACCAGAAATACAATCGGTGTACAGCAAAAATCAACACAACTCGTGCGATCGTTTCAGGTACGATCTAAATTTTTGCTTCATGTGACACTAGAAAAAGAAAAAAATTCGCATTGCCAGTAAACAATTGCGTCTCTGACGATGTTAACCCTTTCGCTCCGAAGGGCGTATATATACGCCCTCGAAGAATGAACATTCATATACGAAGAGCGTATATATACGCTCTCGAAAAGTGGGCGCTCGGGTACAAAGAGCGTACATGTACGTTCATACCATATATATACTTTTCTTTCTTTTTTGTTTTTGCGACAAAATTATCGTTTGCCAAATTTCATTTAAATCTTATAAGACAGATATTGGAAACATATGGGAAACAAAAATCAGATATGAAATGTACCTCAGTGTCGACTAGTCAGTAATGCGCTACGTTCATAGCGATCATATTTTGTCACAAGCGCGCCGTAGCGAAAAGGTTAAAACTGTTCTCATTCGCTTACACAGTCCTAGTTTGTCGTTAGATGAATCAGAATGCGTGTATACGAATAGCGAAAAAGTTGATATGCTACTGATACCGTTGCAATCTGTCCACAGAGACGAAAGAAATTTTTTTAAAAAATTTTTTAAATTTCCCGGTGACACTTACGCGGGACATTCTGTACAGCAGATTGCTAGCTTCACTTACGCTTCTCAATCTTCACCTTTCGCGAAGATTAAAACAATTTATATTACTTATCGGATCACTTGATAGAATACTGAGTGTGTATTGCGAGAAGGGTATTCGGTGTCCCTTCTCAACGAGCAATTCCAGTGATCTCGGCCTCTGCCGATAGCACCGAGCGCCCCAGCTATCATTCACCAACTAATTATTGGATAATTTGAAATTCTTTTCTGTTTTTTTTTTTTTTAAATAAAATATCACCGCTATACAGAGATAGAGTGGCTATTGTGCCTCTCTGTGGCGCAATGGAAAAGCACACTTAGTCTAATAACGCAGACATCCGTCCCCCTTCTTAAGTAATCCACTGTGCGTCTACGACGGTGAAACTCGCGTTCAATTTTAACAATGGAAATCGCGCACATCCGTCCACTTCGATTCGACCCATCTCATTATATCGTATCTCCTGTACCTCTGTCGAAAAAAAAAAAAGAACACAAGAAGATATTAAAAATTCTGAATGAAGAAGTGGGTTAAGCAAATTCGTGCAAATGTCATTGAAAAGCGGGCGTAAAAGTGACGCACGAAACTTGACCTAGATATCAACGACGACGACACACGCGTTCAGCATATCGAAATTGTGGTCTCGAGCCAGTCGATTCCTTTGGATCCAGGACAAGGGGGAGGGAGATTGCAACAGGCTACTCCGTTCGAGATACAAGAAACGGACCGCGATTCTTTTCTAGGAAGCTTATTGACTTGCAATTCTCGTTACGTCAGATCTATCGTCGGGCTAAAACGCGCAAACACAGGGGTCACGTGAGACCGTTGACCTTAAAACTGAGCGATCTTCGTGGTAATCCGATCGGATTAAGGAATCTCTTCTTGTCACAGAGCGCGAGGGTTGGAACAACTTATTTCAGGGACGGAGAGATTATCTCACCTTTGGAATATTCGTTTGCAAACACTTGTACAGGATAGGGAAATTGATTTTCAGGGATAAAGTGATGCGAAGAAAAAAGTCACAAGTGCCCATTAACCTCTGTGATTCCCCTTTCGAAGATCTGTTTTCAGGCGCTTTTAGAGGTTAGAAGAAGAAGAAAAAAATGATTTCGAGGTGTTTAATGGCGGAAAAACTGGCGATAGTGTTAAATAATGAGGGATAAAGAGATGTGGTTGAGGGATCAGGTAACTGGGGTCTGAAGAGACCGGTAGCACTAGATCAGAGTCTCCTGTTTCATTCCCTGGATCAATGTCCTCTTCATTGTTTCTTCTGGAAGGAACTCGTTCTTTCTGGATCATCAGCCCGCATATACAGTATAGTGTAACACTATACCGTGCATTCTTCCTCAGCATCTCATCCGTCTCATCTGTCTGGTGTCTTGTAGTACTCTTCTTCTCAGAGTTTGCACTCTTTCTCAGCATCTCATGTTCCACCCTCGCAGTGTCCTTTCTGTTTTTAGAAAATTTCTGCAGGGCTAGAGAGGCTCGGTACGGTGAAATATTTTTACACCTGTTCAGCGTACCTAGTTACTCTGAACTAAATACGAAGTTAGTTATATAAATTTCGTACGAACGACTGTAGTCGATCCAACTATTCTTGCTTAATAAAAGAGATCATATAATACGGAATTGCACTATCGCGTGTTAGTTCGCGCCGGGCCCGTTCGTTTACATAAGCGGCGAAGAAACGCCGATGGAATCTGAATTCTAGAATCTTTCGTTACGCGGCAAGCGAACCGTGCGAGGAATTTCTCGTGGTTTGAGTCGCAGCCGCGTGGAAAGTACCGATTCTCATCGCTTCGGTGTCGTTTAATGCAGAACAGAAGGGGAAGAAAGCAACACAACAAGCGGGAGAAAATTGCGAAAATTTGGGAAGATTCCGGAATCCTCGAGAATGCTGGAAATTTCGGAGCTTCTGAAATCTTCGAGAACTCTGGCAATTCCAGAGATTCTATAATCCTCGAGAATGCTAGATATTTTCAGTGTTCTCCAGAAATTCCAAAAGCTGTCTTCACTAGTCCAACATTTCCCATTTCTATCTCAACGAGGAAGCTATCGCTCTTTCTTCCGACTCGAGTCTCTCCTCGCAAATAAGTCTAACGAACGCGGATGATAGGTACTGTGAGTGTAAAATACGTCGATTACGAGTTGCAGTTTCTATAATGGAATTATCCTGGTACCCGTAATTTCGCCACAGCTGATCGGTGCCCGTAATGGCCGCCTGGCATCCGAAATATGTCCCTAAACGTCGCGTTACGCACTTTTTCTACCCGACCCTCTTTTATTCCACGCTTCAGGTTGCAACACGAACGCTGTTTAATATTCGAATTTGTTAGCCACTGGCAACACGCACCGATCGCTCCACTTTCTATCGTTTTTCCCGTTTTTCTAACAGTACTCGGCCAGAATCATAGCAATCAGCCTGTCATAAATCTCAAACAATGTTGATTGATAGGTATCCACGGGCACGTCCCTGGGACCAGTTTCTTTGCCGCTACTGTTGGCTGCCATATTGTCTTCAACTATTATACCCACACGCACACACACTAGATACAGCAAGTGTGCCATTTTTCTTCACCGAGTATTCTTTCGACTTTTTTTTCTGCAAACTGACTTTCCTTCTAAATATTTTACAGTTACGATATACGATATCTAGGCTGTGTACGTTTTTGCACGTAAAATATGTCGAGATGTGAAAATATTAGGTCGTTCGATAAGTTCGTGCCGAAATTCTGTAGCGACGATATTACGATCTTACCAAGAAAAATAGGAAAATGTTGCGGAATTAGAAGGCACTTACGTTTTTCTTCTTTTTCTCTTTCTATCAAATTTAACCCCTTCAGGGACACCGGCACATATGTGTACTTTTAGATTTTCCGAAAATTCCAATATTTGCGATAGAGAAAATATGAAAAACACAATTTCCCGAAATCTCCAAAAATCTCCTAAGGAAAGTAGTTTAATTGCTAACGATTTAACATGAATATCACAATGTGCAACTACATAAAAAATTAGAGCAATATTTTCTAACTTAAAAAAAATCGTCCCTGAAGAGGTTAAAGGTTCGTTGAAAATATCGATCTAAATTATAAAATTCGACATGGGATGACCTGATATAACGTACGAGCAAGTTTCTATCCAGATCTCACTTGCTCGTTGGGAAAATTACGGGGTATAATAATTTAAACTTGAAAAATGACAAATTAGCAATTTGCACGAACACCCGCAGACTAATGGTGACACATGATAACTGTGCGATGATGATGTGCGTAGATGTGGAACAACCTGACCTGCGTGGACGATTTCCTGAATCGAGCCTTTCACAAGTTAGGTTTGGTGGTCGGCCGTCATCCTGGTTACTTCGTGATCGTTCCGGTTCTCCTGGCCTGCATCTGCTTCACCGGATACCAGAGGATCCATTACGAGATCGACCCGGAGTATCTGTTCTCGCCGACAAATGGACCGAGCAAAACGGAACGAGCCATCGTCGAGCAGTACTTTAAGGTCAATTACAGCCAGAGATTCAATTTAGGTCGCATCACTAGGCCAGGTAATTTATTGCCAATAAAGGAAGCCTCCATAAAACCCCAAAAAAAGCTTCCCAGTTGCTTCAACAATTATTCCATTGTAATTAAATTACACACACACAATTGTGGTTTGAAGGTACAAATGTGTCTTAGTAGGTCAGGTAAATTGATCCTGAAAAAGAGGTTCTTTTATGTAAATCATAAATCTACTATATTGAACGATCCACGTGATTCTGTGAGAAGAGCAGCAACGTGGAAGGCAAAGTTCAAGGAGAAAGTGCATCAACTTCCCTGAAAGCGTTTCCTTGTTTGCATTGTGTGTAATTTCGCGGCTGCGTGAATCAATCGTGTCTCGTACGGTTTGTCATTAACCTGAGAACTTTCACGTTTCATTGAGCCGTTGCTAATTAGCAGGTTGATTCAGTTTCCTCGGCGTTTCGCCTCCCCCCCTCGTATCGTTCTCTTTGTAGTTACACGTTGAACCAATTCTTATCGCTTCTTCCCTGGTGCAATTAGGTCGATTCGGTCACGTGATCATCACATCGAAGGACGAAGACGAGAATCTGTTGAGAACAGTTATATTCGACGAGCTGAAGGAGCTGGACAACATCATCAGGACTGCCAAAGCTACCTACGAAGGGGAGGAGTTCACTTACAGTCAAATTTGTGCCAAATGGTTGGACACCTGTTTCACCAATGGCATCTTGAACCTCCACTATGTCATAGAGTAAGTATTGCCATAACCATACTCCCGGAATTATTGTAAGAAGCTTACGTTCACCCTATATTCCCATGTCGGAAGTGGAATAGACCACTCGATGTCTCAGCTTATCTATACATTTTGAGGTCTAAGTAGTCGTTAGCGCTTTGCAGTGATGTGGAGCAGAAGAAGCTCAACTTGACTTTCCCAGTGACGTTGAATCCGGTCACCTGGGACATCCATCTACTGCCAGTTTACTTCGGAGGCAGCGTAATTAACGAGGACCTGGTGATAGAGTCTGTACCCTCTTTACAGCTAGGCTACTTCCTTACCACTGATAATCCACGTCAGGATGCAATGTAAGTTGACAAATCGCAAGTCTCTGATCTAACCAACGAGTTACACTTCACATTCCACGTTCTCCGACACAGAGGAGCAGCCTGGGAGGAAGCATTTCTGGAGGTGATGAGGAAAGTAGAAGAGGATGGAATGTTCAAGCACATCGCTACCGCCAGGTTCGCCTCGAGGACCTTGGAACTGGAGCTGGAGGAGAACACCAAGACGATAGTGCCTTATTTCTCGAGCACGTTCCTCCTGATGGCACTGTTCTCCGTGGTAACATGTATGATGACCGATTGGGTGCGTAGCAAGCCTTGGCTAGGCCTTCTTGGCAACGTTTCTGCAGCAATGGCCACTGTTGCTGCCTTCGGTCTCTGTATATACCTCGGAGTGGACTTCATCGGGCTCAATCTGGCTGCTCCGTTCCTCATGATCGGTGAGTTTTAATGTAAAGTGTCGTTTAAATTCGAGTTCTAGATTGGACTTTTCATCGATCTGTTAGAGAAAAGCTGCGGCAAATACGTCAATTAGTATTCGTTCGACATAGAACAATTGGCAGACAGTTTTCAAGGTCTGCGAGAGCAACGAACTATCGCACTTGCAGCTTTCTTTTATAATCTAACGTGATGGATGCAGGTTAAGTAGATTCCGTGATATAATCACTCGTGCAACAGCCAGGGTAATTGCAATTCTACGTGGGTGACAGGTCAGAGTCCTGTGAAAAACCCGACGGAATCGAGCCATCTTCGGAAAACTGAATCATCTTTACCTTCTCGTTTGCGTTTCCCGGGTTTGTCGGAAAAGATACGAGTCTTGTGGCGCCTACAACCAGCGAATCACCGATGAGAATTGTTACGCGAGTTCTGGGAACGATGGGCGCCACGGAAACCACAGAAAAATGTGTCTTGAATGCTCCTTCGAACGTTATATGCGAAGAATCGTGTGGAACCAGCTATTCTCTACGGTCGTGAAACGTTCGAAAAACTCATTTTCAGACACAACGCCGGCTCTCGGAAAGTATTCTCCACTTAAGAAAAACATATTATTCTCTAAGGAAGAGTCACGCGAGTATCAAGACTGATACAATTTTACGAGGGAAAAGGGATACCGTGGGAGGGAAGATACGGGTATTTCGCAAGGATCCGGTCGAATGTGTCTAATGATGACCAGCAATCAGTCAGGTGCACGCGAGCGCAACGCGACGGAAGGGAAAAGTCGCGACTGGGATTTCCGCTTTTCACGCAAATCACTCGTCGGATCCAACCTGATCTCTGTCCACTGAATTGAGTCGAAGGGGCTGGTGTACTCGGGGTGTCGCAATGATTTCGTCAACTATTGTTGCATTTTCAATCACTTGGTTTCTCTGGTGCGCACGATAGCTTGCAGCTAAGTAGGAAAGTTGCTGGTAGATAGGCGGAAAAGGAAAAGTTAGGAGCGCGTTTTCGTCCTGAGCCTCCTAGTGGACGACTTCTTCAGTAAGGTTTTCTAGGAGATTCGTGCCTTAGACGCGGGAGAAACTGAGAAGACTCAGGTCAGAAGGTGTATATATACAAATAGGGGCCTTTATGAGGACTAGCGAGAACCTGTGGTTAGTCCCGTCCCTCTGGTGGCAGAGCATAGAAGGGTCGCTACAAGCTGACCAGACTTCACGCGAACCCGGATTAATCGCAAAATTATCCTTTCTTTTTCCGTAAAAAGAAAAAGAAAAAATATTTAAATCTAATTAAATTCTGGTTAGTCAACGAAACAGGTAATTCGATTGATAGATGAGAAAAAGTGTCGACGGTTGGGTGTAAACGCGAGAAAGTTCTGGAAATTGGTCATCCTTGCTCAAGGATTGAATAAACGCTTGCATTAGCGGCTATAAATCGCCGTCCAAATGTAGACAGGCTGAATCACGAATAAACCGACCATTCTGATTCACTCGACGCGCTAACTGCCGCCTTGTTATCGCGATAATGGTGGTCGTTTTTATATCGCCGCCAGGGGTGTGTGCGCGATGACAAATCGCTCCTTAGCCTGACTCACTACTGTCACCTTTTATTCGTCCAGCCTCTATTATCCTAATTTACGATTAAAACAATTCGATAAACTGAATTAACGTGAACGTCGAGACCGAGGATGTTTTGGGGGAGAAAGAAGCTATCGAAAGACGAGCATGTTGTATTATTTGTTCACAGGTATCGGAATAGATGATACCTTCGTGATGCTGGCTGCCTGGAGGAGGACCAGTATCATGAAACCTGTGCCTGAGAGAATGGCTGCCACTCTGAGCGAAGCCGCTGTCTCGATTACCATCACCTCTCTGACAGACATGATCTCGTTTTTCATCGGAATACTTTCACCTTTCCCTTCTGTTCAGATCTTTTGCATTTATTCAGGTGAGTGGCGGAGACCCAAAAATTCTCACCAAGTAGTTTTTTCCAACGATTAACCCTTTGCGGTCGTACGTCTACTCTGAGCCGCTGAAGCAAAGAAACTATTCGAATTTTGCGTGCTTGTCGCACGATGGAGAAGTATAAAATATAATTTTTATATAAAATGAAACTATGAGCCATAAACCAATTAAACAGTCCTTCCTAGCCCCTAACAAATTCCTTTCCTACCATAAAGAAGTTCAAGACGCATCCTGGTCATGTTTACTATCCGTTTCCCCTTTCCGGGTTTTCCCCAAATTATTTCAACATTTGCAAGCCACCTTCACCCTCACGTTCTCCTTCCCTCCACCACCTTCGACTTCCAACCAATCGACACACACACCGAGGTAATATATTCGTACGCACAATTCCAGAATAGATGATTCAAAAACACTCCGACCAAAGGACACGTTATTCACCATCCCCACACCGACTATTCAAATTTCGCCCTTGCGGTATTAATTTGTCGGGAGCGCACCGATACCACTCGCGCTCGAGATCAAACAATTTTCGTGTCGTTGATTATATGAAAAATTCATTCTGGCCAGCTCAGCACCCATGTGTGAGTTCAATACGACCGCAAAGGGTTAACTTATCGGGGAAGATCCGGTAGAGATGGATGAAATTATAAGGCTAATAGGATTTCTAAGGTTATTCAGAGGTGTTTTCTCTCCAGGATTCGCTGTCGTTTTCACCTTCATCTTCCACCTGACCTTCTTCACCGGCTGCGTGGCGATCAGCGGCTACTGCGAGCAGAAGAACCTCCACAGCGTGCTCTGCTGCAAGGTGCAACCGCTCTCCAAGTCCAGTGAGTCTCTTCCTCCCTTTTCTCACCCTTCAGACCACCATTGGTCACTCGAAAAACGCGCACACACACACACACACACGTAGAATTTAGCAAATATCCTCGACAACATCTCCGGTCCGTCCAGTGAGTCTCTTCCTCCCTTTTCTCACCCTTCAGACCACCATTGGTCACTCGAAAAACGCACACACACACACACACACACACGTAGAATTTAGCAAATATCCTCGACAACATCTCCGGTCTACGTGTCGAGCTTCCAAGTCAAGATACTAATATGCACTCGCTCGAACTAGTTGCAGCAAGTTTTCCAACACATTTTTCAATCACTGGACACTCTGTGACGTGTGAATTCAGAACAGAAGTAACCACAGACGTGTTTCCTCGTTGCATAACTTTAGTAATAATCCACGTGGCCGGTAAAAGTAAGAGTTCAGCGATTTCGGTTACTACATCTGATATGACGCGAGTAGAGGTGGCTGGCAAAGGAAGCAAGCCTGTTAAATGCCCAAAGAAGGTGTCATCCGGAATACTTTACAGGCGCCGCCTAGTTCGATGTATCGTTCGTCGGTTTTCATTGAACTTTCATTAATTTCTTCACTTTCTACGTGAAATATCGGTGTCCCCGAGCTATATAAAACTGTCGTCTCTAATTATTTTGTAACGATCGTGAAAAAAATGTTTCTTCGCTGGTGGAAAAAGAACTCTTTCGATTAAAATGCTGTTGAAACGTCTCTTGAATCCTTGCCCGGTGTTTCGTTCCTTCAGAAAAGTTACCAGGATCGATCTAATCGTTCCATAAGTGCACTTTTTAAAAATTATTTTCTTTCACTTCCCATATTGCGTGATCCTTTCTATTACGACAGCAAGAAGTACAAGTTACAGCGTTGTAAATAACGGGAAACTTGTTTCTATACGTCTGAGAAAATAATCGAAAGAATGTCAAAATCGATCTTATTTGGCGCGTCAAGTTGTGAAAGATGTGAGCGGTTAAGGGGTTAATCGACAAATCCGCTCGCACGATGATACGTACACAGCTGTAGAATCGATTATTTCGCGATCCGAATCGAGTGACTTTCTCCGGGGACACTCCAATTCGATTTTAACGAAAACCAGAGATCTGCCGCGGTGGCGCGGCACGGTTACGTCACTGGAGCGCGCCAGGTTACGTTCGAGCGCCGCTAATTCGTTAGATCACAACACGTTGCGTAATCTCGTCGCTTTCTCCACTGGGACATTGTCAACAGTTATGAGCAATGTCATCTTACACACTCTTACATAACTTCTTCCTCGTTTCTGTTTCCTAAAAAAAAAAGGAAAACGACAGAAAATCGTGCATCTGACCAATCATCCTGTGTGGCTGCAGCGGAAAGCCTGATTTCAGCTGTTCGAGAATGTTCGGTAGAGTTTTTCTTCCTTTTTTTCATTCAATTTTCTGCAGGTTCGAATAACGAAATACCAAGTAATTAGTAATCGATAAAAGTCGAGACATGGTGAACGCATCTTGGACGTCTATTGTCCCCTCTGATTTAGCCGTCATGCGAACGTGTCTCGCCTCGTTAATGCAATTAACATTGTCGCTTGGCGCGTGACATTGTCCTGGCAACCTCTGCTGCCTTTGTTCCCACCCGAGGATGACTTCATCACAATTGCTTCCCACAATTCCATCCAGTTTCAAAGTCAAAGGCAACGTTTCCCGGAAAATCGACTTATTTACTCTTTCAGCGCATCGCTCGTGGCTCTACAGAGCACTGTGCTCCGGCGGGATAGATCCTGATGATCCGTACAACCCTGTAGACAATCCAGAACACGGGTGCATGAGCTGGTTCAGAGATTATCTGGCTACCGCGCTGAACTGTAGGCCTGTCAAGGTTGTCGTCATCCTGATATTCGCCTGTTACTTGGCTGGAGCACTTTACGGTTTGACGACTCTTCAGGAGGGCTTGGATCGTCGCAAGCTCTCTAAGAACGACTCATATTCCATTGTTTTTTACGACAGACAGGACTACTACTTCAGAGAGTTTCCGTACAGGATACAGGTGCAGTAAAGAATAAATAGAACGAATTTAACAAGTTTCTTGTAAACGTGTAGAAAATAAGATAGCAATTCTCCAATTACGTTTCTTCAGGTGGTGGTTAGTGGCCAGTACGACTACAGCGATCCAGTGATCCAGCAGCAAGTGGAGAACCTGACGAGATCGTTGGAGGCCAGCAAGTACATCAGCAGCGCTCCAATCTACACGGAGAGCTGGCTGAGAAGCTTCATCAGCTATGCGAACAACAGCGAAGCCGACGTGGATATTAGCGACGAGAAGAGCTTCATCAAAGTATTAAAGGACATCTGGCTGTTCGCGAAAAGTAGCTACTCCCTGGACGTGAAGTTCGACGAGACCGAGGAGCATATTATAGCTAGTAGATTCCTGATTCAAGCGGTGAACGTCAGTGGTACCAATCAGGAGAAGGACATGGTGAAAGAGTTACGTCGAATTTGCACTGATTCACCGTTAAACGCCAGCGTCTTCCATCCTTACTTCGTCTTCTTCGATCAATTCGAACTGGTGAAACCAACCAGCATCCAGTGTATGGTATTCGGTGCTCTGATTATGATGCTGATCAGCTTCATCTTCATACCTAATGTATTATGTTGCCTGTGGGTGGCATTCTGCATCATCTCCATCGAATTAGGCGTGGCTGGCTACATGGCCTTATGGGACGTGAATCTGGACAGCATTTCCATGATCAATCTGATTATGTGCATAGGCTTCAGCGTTGATTTCACTGCTCATATATGCTACGCCTACATGAGCTCCAGACAGAAGACTCCGGAGGACAGAGTTAAGGAGAGTCTGTACAGTTTGGGCCTGCCGATAGTCCAGGGAGCCACATCGACGATCTTGGGGCTCGTAGCCCTGGTTCTAGCTGGAACGTATATCTTCCTGGTATTCTTCAAGATGGTGTTCCTGGTGATCTTCATAGGAGCGATGCATGGAATGTTTCTGCTCCCTGTTCTATTGTCCCTATTCGGTCCCTCGTCTTACAAAGATGTCACGACAGACCCAGATAAGACTCAGCAGAGGAAACTCCCAGGAAAGGACCTGGCCTGTAAGCTTCAGCAGCCCTACGTGATTCCACATCCAACTCTGACATACTATCACCCCTCAGGAGCCACCAAGAGCCTCCAAGGCAGTCCTGCGACCAGTCTAGCAGCCTTCGAAGAGAGGGATCCAGGTCTAGGGACCAGTGAAGACAGCAATTCGACAGAAAGTGGCTCCTCTCAGAGCAGGAGAAGGGAAGGACAATTGGAACAGGAGAACCAAAGGCGTCACGACATATGGAGGAAGTCCATAGGCATCCTTTATGGGACATCTCAGTTCCAGACAGCCTCACAGCCTACTGCACCACCTCCAGACTATGCTGGTGCTGGTCAGCAGCTTCAGAGTGATCAGGATCGTCGAGCAACTAGAACAGTGTCTTATGTGGGTCCTTGTCCAGCCTACAGGTCTGCCAATCAGTTGCACAGGGATCACAGGAGGAGTGGGTCGTACCATAATCTTCAGCATTCGTCGAGGTACCTGACTGAGCCACGTTATCCTTAAGTAGAATGATGGTAGCCTATTGTGTATGGGAACCTTTACCTCTGACCCTCATCATCCTGTCCAGGAGACGGTCATCGACAGTATCATTTGTATTTTATTGAAAACTGACAGGCTTCCTTGACTGCCGACGATCCCTCCAATGCTGTAAATATTGATTGGTGGATGATTGATCAGTTGGATCCGTGGGGTTCCTTCGTTGAACAGGATTTTTGGTGAATAGAGAACTCAAGTGACTCGTTTTTTCAAGTGTGAGGAACACTGTACCATATAGCGAGCTAGCTCCTTCCCAATGTGACCACTCTGGTCTACGCTTTTTAGAGCTCCCAAGGCCAATTATTATGAAAAATTTCGACTCGTTGAGGGAGCTTGAAAAGTTCAGACATGGGTGATCAGTACAGTGAATTTGATACGTTTATACTTTGAGCCGTATGCATGATGACGAACTTCTTCTTTATTTAGTTTCAGCGTCGAATTTCGAGATGTATAGGTTAAGTTTTATCTGTAACCAGCAGGCAACGGCAGTTACCGTGCGCGAGTCAAACAGGGATCGTGGAAAATAATAGTGGAGGATGGTTCTCCGCGATCCACGAAATCTGCTCAAATGGAAATCAAAACCAAAACGTAACAGCAGGGAGGTCCAATTTAAAGTAAACGAGAAAAGAAAAGAAAAGAAATTGGGCAACTTTAATATTCGTGCCTTATGAAGAAGTGTGTTCTTGTTTGAAAAAAGAAAAAAAAAAAATTAAAAATATACAAAAATGGGTCCACGACCAGAACTGAAGGAAGAAAATTTCTTTTCCTGACATTTTGTCATGACCTTGCGTCAGAATGTGACACGTGATAGGGAGTCAATTTTTACATGTTTCTCGGGGGAACACGCAGCGGACATGTTTGCTTCCTCCATTTTGAAATATTCGATTTTCGGAATTTTCTGGAACCCTTTTTTTTTAGCCTGAATACATTTTTTATAAATATTCTTCGCTACAGCTTCCAAGTGGCTGAAGCAAACACATCCAGCGTGTTCAGCACAACTATTTCTGTATAGCACTAATAAATAGTATGCGTGTTGGTGAGTGAGAGAGTGCAACGAATAATATGCACCGTCACAGACTGGCTGCTGCCATTGGAAATGTTCTTGTAAGCGAAATATATTCTGGTAATTATTCCCTCACGACTATATCCCAGAATTGTAACCATCGCGTTATTTTTATGCAAATTCACAAAGGTAACGTGTCATATCTAACCAGTTAAAACAGGTATCAACTGATTCTCTCCATAAACAAAATTTCTTAAAATTATTTTCACTCGAAATAAATTACAGTTGGACAAAATCTTCATGTAAAACAGAACCTCTATGTAGAATGAATAATTCTCTAGCAAGAGTACAGAAGACAACCATTTACCAAGGCAACTTGCCAGTGGTCGGTTTAGGTTATGTTACCATATCAGCAGACCTATTCCCACGAATCACTGGATAACATTCGGTGTTCCAACCTCTATTTATCGACTTTACAGAGGACTTAAAATAGGTATCGGCAGCCACAAATAGTCTTTCACTGGCATACAAAAAAATACAGTTCGCAAATGATAACTTGAAAGAGTCTAATTAGAATTGTGATTATCGTGTGACTCAGAAATGATTCCAGAAAATAATGTTCAAGTATTATTTTATTTAAATTTAATTGTACAACATTGATTCCTTTTAAGAAGAAAGGAGAAATATGCAGAAAAAGAAATCGTTGAAGCCCTTTTATATCCTCTCACGTGTCTAGTCATGCATGAAACACGGAGTTTAAAGTTGAGTTGCCCCTTTTGAGATATTGCATCTTCTGTTCTGGATAGTAGACGATTTTCAAAGGGTTCCATCGAGACAGAGATTACCTTGGAATTCTTGCACGCGTGGAGGAACACCATCCAGACATTGTGTATCGCTATTCCAGGGAATAGTGACGTTTACGAGCACTCTTGGAGGTTAGGAAATTTTTTTCATACTCCAGCCGCTCTTGGAACTGTCATAATCTTTGATATAAAAGAATTTATCTCGCCCTTCTCAATTTTGAAATAATAATTTGGAAATTGTGCTGAATAGAATATCGAGGAATTAAGAAAGTTAGGTTTTTAAATAATTCGAAAATCATTTTTAAATTATTAACCTTTTTTCTTTCTCAATTCAATTTGAGCCTGCAAGTGAAAGAAATTGAATTCCTTTGCTGTCTCGACATGGACACGCTCTAAACCGTGATAGCTGCTCAACACATCGAACGTACCCGGTTCCGATGGAGCAATTTGCTATCAGAGAAAACAGAAACAGTGATGGAAAAAGCCGGCTGAAGTGGCTGACGTTATTTCTTCGCCCCCGTCTGCGTTAACATATTGTCAGCCAGTGAAAAGGAAGCTTAAGCCGCGGGAAATCCTCTTAACTGGAGCTTCTGGACGACATTGTTCTATTATTAATTCCACAATCCAGACATTTCCGTGATTTATTAAGGTTTTGGTGAAAAATTTTTTTCTTTATTTAATTAGAAAAATTTTCCGAGATGAGTATTTGAAAAATTTTAAGATTTCCTTACAGCGATATATTTGACAAAAATTCTGTTATTTCGGTACTATTAATTTGTCAATTTTTTAATCAATCAATATGTGATATCTCTGGACGACACGAACTATAATTACAGTCAGGTCAAGTATCTGCATCTAATTTCGTGTACCTCGAGCCATTGATCGGACAAATTGATTTGCTTCCACCTGGAGGACGAACATCACCGTAATCCATTCCTATTCGAGCTATCTCCTGATATCATTGAACGAGAACACCATTCTGCAGCGCAGCACCGGGCCGCGACAACAGCACGCAAACGTCAACAACGTTATTGGACATGGGACGTCCAATCAAACTTGTATTCATGGAGCAGCGTCCGCAACTTCCTACCACAGTGCACTGTACCACCAGGTTCTCTCCTATCTGCCTGTCTTTTTTTTTCCAAATTCTACATCTAAAATTTACCATTTTTCGTCAGTCAGGTGCACCAGTGTTCTCCTAATTCCAATTTATGCCGAAGACTGTACACATTGTCCAGTTAGGAAGACCTTTAAAACAGGATCCAAATTCAAAAATTTTTCTTGAAGAAACTGTAGTCGAAATATGATTCGAACTTTTTTCTACCACGAGATACACTTATTCACTATACACTTGGAAATTTTCGTCAAAAAATATCGAAAATTATAAAAGATACCGCTGTCAACATGAGGTAATGTTCGTTCCTCAATGGCTCTCATCTCAGGTCCTGTGTAACTCCTCGAATTTTCAAGATGGCAACTCGAAATTTTCACAAGGTATTCTCTGAACATCAAAAAGCAAGAAATCTTTTTATCTTTTTTCCTCTTTCATTTGTAAAAAATGACTCCGACCAAACCAGTATCTCACATTCTGCTTCCCTAGGCAAACGCCACCTAAGAAAATATTCACAAAACTTACCAAAAAAGATAAGAGAAAAGAAGTTTCCTTGCTTGTTCCTTCCTTCACAAGCGCCACGATGGAATATTGAATAAATCAGCATATTGAGGAGGGGCTAACGCGAATTTCGCCCATCTGGAAGAAGACAAAGCCGGAGTTCCTCTAATTCTGCACCAGGGTAACTCGATCAGAGAATAGTCTCCTATGAATCTACGGTGCTCAAAGGGTTCGATACCCGGGTTCAGTCATCCTGAGAACGGAATTATTCGACGCTGGTCGAAAGTGTACATCTCAGCCGGGGAAATTATTAATGGCGTGCGTGACGACGGGTTATGCAACGAGTCTGGCGTGCTCCTCCCGGCCTGTGAGTTATTGTCGGGGATCCTTAGGCGAGTTCCTGGCCGGGGAGGTACCTGACGAGTATCCTGACAAGCAGCCTGTTGCGTGACCTGCCCGATCAATATCTGTACAGGCGCAACACCCCCAACCACTCTTCCTATCTTCTCGAACGAACGCGTCCCGCTCAATCCCACCATAGACTTGCTCACCCTATTCCCTTTCTTTTTTCTTTCCTTTTTTTCTTACCTTGTTTTATCCATGACTCGATGGAGGGAAGTGTCTCTAAGGGGATTGAAGGGAGTCGGAACTCATTTTCTTCAGATACTTGTGTGTCGGATCTACACTGGTTACTTTATACCGTGTTCATTTGTTTATTTAACAGTTTGAAGACACTAGCTACGAGAGAGAATGCGGCGAAGTTCTCACGTTCAAATATTTAATTTGTATTTGCGACAAAAACGTGGTAGAAATATAAAATGCTTTTACCCAACGAAGCTTCAGAGGTGAAGTGTCACGAGGTTTAACCAGGTCCTCTCAGAACCGTATTTTTTATCCTCAAGGTACACTCATGCCCCTTTTCTTTTTTTTTTTTTTTGTAAAATAAGGACTAAGTAGTACCTACATGGAGTACGGTGAGATTAATTTGACGTAGACGTTGTTCTCTTCAGATTGGAGATAATTATTTATCCAGTCTCTAGAAATATTTGTCCCGGAATTAATGATATTCTGAATATTTTCTCTCGTCCTGAGGAGGGAATTAATGGTGTATCTGTGATGTCTATAGTGGTTACGTGTCACATCAAGTTTCGCGCTACACAAATTAATCCAGTGGAGTGGATGTAACGGCGTTTCAATTATCGTGTAGCGATCTTAATTGCGTTATTCCCATCGTGTGGCTGAATGGAACTCTTCTGACAGGCAATTTGCCATAATTATCGGGAGCATGCTCGAGCATGTCACTTGTACTAGTTCATGCTGTGTGCACAACTATGACAACGCGTCTTTGCGAAAATCACAGTTGTTCTTCCGTCTGTTTTATTAGAAACGGAGAATTATTTATTACACCGAGAATATCGTTCTTGGGTTTCTCTATCTGGAAAATAATTACGCGGTTAAAGAGCTTGACCCGGTTTTTCCACGTTGACGTCAAAACTCGTGCATAAGTTCCGTCAGGAATTTCCATTCCCTTCTTGCAAAAACATTACAATATCCACCGTTGGAAAGTGTGCTCGTTTACCAGTAGAAAACTTGTCCCGTGGAAAATAAGGAAAAAGCGAGGCTATTACTTTCTACCTAATTAATTTTCCAAGTCCACGTTGAGTCTATGATGTCAGGTCTGAGTTCATAAGCTAAACTCGGCTGAAGTTGTTCCTATTATTTCTTTTTCTCTTTTGGTTGCTATCACTTTGCCTGTTTCTCAAATTTTCCACACATTTTTCGGACATTTTCGTCTTTTTTTTTGTTTTTGCATTTCTATCAGTGGGTGAAGTAAATAAATCTTTAATTCTTTAATCTCCATCGAGCGAAATCAACTTGGTCTTGGGGGTAGAGGTTCATCTCAACAAGTAGCCAGTTAAATTCCAGGTCGAAGCACCGCCCGGAAACCGGAGGTTCGTGTTTAAATTCGTGGGATTTTCGTGGGTCGAGTTGCGTCTTGGCGAGCGGCCGCCCTCTCTTCCCAGGTAAACGACGCCTTCCTGGCGCCGCGGCGACCGCGTCCCCTTCTCGCCTCAGACACTCTTGGCGAACTTGGAGATCTGTGTACAGCACGCTCGCCGCGATAACAATACATTGCATCTAACGTAGATTTGGAAATTCATTATTTCGAACGCAACGATCTCTTTTGGATCTGCCGGACTCCATTTTCTCCTTTACTCACTCTAGTTTAACTTGGATTTATCTCTCCTTTCGTATTCACATTGAAAAATTAATCAGCTGGGCTGAAAATTAGATTTAACTAGGTTTGCTTGAAATGCAGACGTAATTTAATCCTGATACGGATTTGAAAAATGGATTTTTTTTTTTTTAATGGTAAATTAATTCCGACAGGCTACACGTTCGTTTTAATTTGGAACATTGATGAAAGAGAAGTGTTAGGTGGACGGTAGCCGTTGAAAATTGACCAGGTCGGTATTCACAGCTCGTTCTACACCATCGAAGCGCTTTCTCCAGGATGGTTCACGTGTTTCCCTCCCCTTGGAATCGATTGGACGCTCCCTGAGCTTCCATTTTTGCGGCACCTCTCCATCGCGTGTACCTCGATATCGCCTCGCAACGCGCTAACGACGTCGACCTGGTTTGGAATCGTTTGAATTTTCCAGATATCCAAAGATTAAATCGGAGATCTGCCTCTATTTCCTCTGGAAAAATAGAAAACACGAGGAGAGCCCTGGAAACACGGCACAGAACCTGTCTCCTTTTCCCTCGCACAAATTCGTACAATTCTTCTACAATTCATTGGAATTCCAATTTGCCCGCAAAAAAAAAAAGAATATTTCCAATAATTCTTTCGACTCTTCTTTCCACGTCGTTAGATTCGTATATTTGTATAGGCCAGCAGTGGTCAGACACGCACACAACCTTTCTTACCTCCGGTTTCCTCCAGTGTCTTCAGAATTTACTGGAAATTGAATTGAATTGGTAAAAGAAATTTTCGAGCGATACTTTTCGAATTCCAGATCTCTTCAAGGTCACCGATCGAGGTTACGGAATATTCCATTGGCCTGTAATATCATTGAACG